TTTTATGCATTTTTTGTAGCTCTGCAATATATTGGCGAGGGATTGTCTGTGTGAGTGTGTATCTGTGCGTGCGTCTGCCACGGTTTTCACCTTTAGACCTACAAAAGCTACAAACTTTGGGAAATTAATCTACATGCACGTACGAGCCCCAATCCCCAAAATAGGCGCTCTTACCCACGTGGTACTCACATACGAGCCCGTGAAATTTTTTTGCGGGTAAGTCGCTAACTCGTGAACCTGAAAAGTTAGAAGACTGTAATTTTAAGGGAGTGTTCCCCATTCACGCAGGTATTAATGAGCTTAAACCTAGCCCCCGGGTATGAGTTATTCCCACGTATGAACCTGTGAAAGCTTTTTTCGGGTAAGTTGCTAATTCGGGAACCTGAGAAGTTAGAAGACTGGAATTTTGAAGGGATGTTTTCTGACAGTCCTGGCGGCCAGTCTGAAATTGTTTTAGGTAGAAGCATCTGCCTGAAAAAACAGTGCTGTTAGCGACAAAAATCTGCGGGGAGCTATGCAAAAAAACGCATCTTCGCAGGGTCGGCCCGTGCGTTAGCCAATTATCATTTTTTTCACATCACTATCCTTTTCTTTCCTTAGTATTTCACATTTCTTTCTTCGGATCGTTTGATGAATTTGGCCTTTCAGAAGTCTTTCTTGCTTCTCTGTTTATAACACTGACCCAGTTTGGACTTGAAATTCATAGGGACACGTAAGAAGTGGGAGTTTATTTCAAGTCCACAGTTTCGTAGCATATGATCGCATTCGGGATTGGCTTTACAGGGTTTTAATTCCTTGCCGCTGTATTTTCAAGCTGAAGTGCCAAGACAAATCACTCAGGAATCCACAAACTGACTTAGCGTTTTAGTATAAATGCAAAAAAAAAGCCACACTCATCAAGAGCGCCTCCCAGCAACAGAATGCGGATTTTACTGACTTTTATCAGATAAGCGCTCATCTTGAACCGCTCTCCTATTATTATCCCTATCCACATTTCGGGCTTCTCGACATACTTGTGTATTGTTGATTCAGAAACAAAAAAAACAGTTGGCTTGCCGGCTGAATTACTTAACTTCGTATCCGATTATGAGCCAATTTTATCAGATCCGTTAACTGTGCAGCAGTTCAGGATGTGCGTGTTGGCGTTGGTCGACATCGTGATAAATTGGAACAAATCCGAGATTCGCTGAGGCCATTCGAGCAAGCCGGTAATGCAGAATCAGCAGCATTGCCGTCGCCTTTTTGTCTGCCAAACAATAACAGCAGTGAGGATGAGGAACGACGTCAAATCATGATCAATACGCTCACGCAAATTGGCTTCGATGAGGTGCGAATGTTCAAATTTTACCGATCGTCTCTTGATCCGTGCTTGTTTATCTCATTTTCTTAGTAAAGAGCAGCAAGGTAATGCATCACCACAGTCACAGTAAGGCCCTCAACTTCTTTGGCTGAAGTTCGGTGGAATCAGAACTCGGCAAAGCTGACACTCCTTTTGAAGCAAGCATTATCGCTTTTACGCCTTTCCCAGATTTGGAAATCAGATTTAATTTTAAATTAAGTTTTAAAGGAATCGTTGTGGTATAAATAGGAAATGACTGAAGAATTATGAAATTAGAAAAATTTTTTTTTAAGTTGGAAAGAAATGTTTCGTTTCATAAAGTCGTATACATTTCTTGTCAGTGCCACAACTGATGCAAGCCAATAGAACGTTAAAAAGCAATGAGAATACTGTCGTCTTATGCGTTATCCAGAGGGGATATCGTGCTGGGCTGTTTCAAGCTTCTAGTTTTTGCAATTCAACTAGTTACC